GATGTTACGACGTTTCGTGTTGTATGTTGTAAATCTATGGCTCTGTTGATTGATCTCTTACTTTTCTGCTTCACTGTTCAGATTCGTACAATATGCAAATTAGACTCAATGGAAATCTATAAGTATTCAGATAAATGTATAGCTGATGTGCTTTAATATATGTGAAATTCAGAAACTGATATTCAGTAATTCTCTATTAGACAAGTTTATTTGATATGATACACAGTGATACAGCATTAATCACTGTATGACGTTTCGAGCATGATTTACTGGTCGAAAGTATACGAATTTATTCACACGACTTCATAATTTCATTTGCCTTAGATAGTATTCTTAATAAAGCTTGGATTAGGCTGGTATTTACGCCAACCAAAGAAATCACTCGGGAACACACTTTGTCGGCTTAAAAAAAGCCAATAGATCCAAATTAATTTTAAAGTATTGGTGTTTGTAGGGATTTGTTTGATTGGTTAGAGGATTTCATCATGAGTTGACATCCGTTAGAGAACCATTGGAAAACCTAGGAGTACTTGAAAACCAACCAATCAAACAAAATCCCTACAAAACCAATACTTAAAAATTAATATGATGCTCACTAGCGACTGGCCCTGTTCAGGTTGGTAGTTACTTGGAGTTCTAGTGGGAAGCCGTGACCAGTAGGGTACAGCAGGTTGAAGGTGAGGGCAGTTACTCATCGAAGAAGACAATGGCTAGTGGTCGCGCTGTCCCGTGAATTGGCAGAAGTTAGAATACATGGGCTGGCCATTGGATTGGGTCCCAGTGGCTTATTGGTCTACGAGCTGGCTCGCCTTGTAACCAGAAGGTCCTGTGTTCGAACCCTGACGATGGGTGCGTACTAATGAAGAGTCCAGAACTAGGCTGACCGAACGGCTGTCCAGTACTCCCAACTGGTTATCCAATGGTCCTGTAACTGATGTCAGCTCATGATGAAACCCTCCAACCAAATGATAGATTATAATGGAAACTTGATCCAGTTGTTAATATTGTATCACTTTGGCTTATATCGAATAAACTTATCTAATTTGGAATTATATCGTATTACAATTCCAGAATTCTACTCCTAAATCAATAATACTTAGTATTTTTCAAGTAATTGTTTTTAGGAATTCGACTAATTTCAAAAGAAGTGAGCTCGAGAATCGTCGAAAACTAGATAACATTCAACAGCTGGTTTCTCATAGTTTTTGGTTGTATATCGCAAAGTGATGCGAGTTAGAACTCAATGTTTGCCTGGTAACCCGAAGGTTTTGAACTCTATCTTTGGTTAGGCCATTGGAGGTGTATTGTTAACAAATTCTGAAATAAGATGAAACAGGGATCCCTGACTATCGATTTTTCTCCGCATAATATCGGATTTTTGTGATTGAAATCTACCTTGTTGAAATAATTATTAAAATGCAGATTGTAATGTATGATTATTTGCTAAAATTTCGATGCTAGCGCACTTAGAATGTCAATTGACTAATCAACCAACACCGGGGTTGTGCTGAAACAGATAAATTCTCATTCCGCGTTTTTGTATCATTGCAATAAAATAGTAAACCTAATCAGTTTCCATAAACTCGCTTAGTAAGTGTTTTCTTCACAATCATAGTTATTTTCTAACTAGTCTATATATATGTTAATTAGGGGAATAACGAAATAAGTTATTGGAAAGGTAACATTTTATTTTGATAAAATCAAACGGTGTTTGTTATACAGTAATATTTAATGATGGCCACGTTTCGAGCACAAATTATTACTACTCATAATCATATCAAGGCACTCTCAGACAACTTTCTTGATGTTAAGTAACTGTCCTATAAAGTTCATTAGGAATATCAAAAACAGGTCAAATACAAAATAAAAATAATGGTGAAATTAATAATGATAACATAAATAAGAAAGGATATAAGGCATATACAGTAGTTTTGTAACAACAGAAGACAAGGGTCAGGCAACAGATCGTTTATTAAGGAAATCAAAGCATATTTATATATTTTCATGTACATTATTATAGTTTAGTTAAGCAAACAAACACAGTCATCTGATTGGTTGTTTCTCACTTAAAGTTAATCTTTCATCTCTTTGTGACTGTTTCTTGAATGTCAGATCATCTATATGTTAACTGTACCCGCCTACTCAAAGTCTGCTGTGGTCGGTTTTGAATCAGTCTTTGTCCCCATTTTCTCACGGCAAATCTTGGGAACGTAAACATTGACGCAAATTACTGTCTACTAATTTGGCTAGTAGACAGCTCTCACCACAGTTTAACCACATAAGGAGGGCACGTCCGAGACCCTAAGTAGGATTCTCAATAAAGCAGGAATTAGGGTGGCATTCAAACCTACAGGCTATGTAGGCTAAAGAACCCGGTGGACTCAACTAAACAAAATAATATAATTTACAAAATACCTTGCAATGACAGTGAGTGAGGTCCACTACATAGGTCAAACTAGTAGATCAGGAGTAGTGAGATTATCAGAATTTAAGAATTTAGCTAAGGTTGACCCTGAGAAGATAAGTAATCTAGAAAAAAGCCCAGCAATTGCACTGCATGCATGAACACACAGTAGGGTTGGACGGAGTTAAAATTCTAAAAAGTAATCTAGTTAGGTGGAGATAGAGAAAGGTTCATTACTGAATCCTCGTTCATCGAGTCTACACCGAACACATTTAACAGATGTGACTCAATGCAAATCCCAGAAATATAGAAGATATTACCAGTCAAATCAACGGATAATACATAATGTTAGAATTTATTTCAATTCACATTATAACATTCTAACAAGTTACTTATTTTTACCGTAAAAAAAATCTTTTTTCCCATCTGATTGCACTTTATTGATAACACTGATATTATTTCCGACTGTTCTTTATTTTATATTGATTTTATTCAAATGTCTAATCATCAATTTTTACTCATTTATATGAATGAAGCAAAAAAGTTGTCTGAGAGTGCCTTGATATGATTATGACTAGCAATAATTTGTGCTCGAAACGTGGTTATCAGTAAATATTACTGTCGTGTAGCAAGTCACTAGCGAGCATCAGATTAATTTTCTATAGTTTGGTTTGTAAGGGTTAGTTATGTCGCGCTAAATCACGAATTGGTAGAAGTTAGAATTCATGAGCCCGCACTCGAGTCGGGTCCCAGTGGCTGAATGGTATACGATCTTGCCTTGTAACCGGAAGGTCCTGGGTTCGAATCCCAGTGGGTGCGTACTACCGACGATCCCCAAACTAGGATGAAACAGCTGTCAAAATAAATTTTACCCACAATGGAATTATACTCTACCACAGTGCCCAAGTTTTATCCTTATACTGAAAAGGTGTATTTTCCCAACCATACATACTAGTGGCAGGCTATCCATTTCATTGTGTTTTATATTTTTGGATAATTATCCCACAGAGTCAGTCAATCGTTAGTGCGGAGGTGGTTTTTGAAATATTCACCCTTCACACATTAATTGTCGTTTAATACGAGTTACTGGACTTTGTTATATGAAGCAAAAAAACAAAACAACTTTTCAGTAATTATTTATAATTTTGATGCTTATTTATCAGCTGTTCAATGGAGATTTGAGGGAGAGAGAGAGAAGAGTTTTAAAACTATTACTTACCATATGCTATAAATAGAATTGATATCATTTTTAGAGGTGGCAAAATTTTCTAAATCCCACTCATTTTTAGAGTTGTTTTGCGCGCAAATATAAGAAAAGATGTGGTAAAAATACTTTTTATGTGTTAGTTTGTAGAAACTTGACTAGTCTCAAGTTCGATCACAGATTGATATCAGTTAGAAGACCACTGGATAGTTATTTCTTCCCAGTTTGGGACTCTTCAGCCTTGCACACCGATGACATCACCGTGGGTCGAACCCAGCAGCTTCAGCTGATGAGGCAAGTTCGTTGACCTATTCAGCCATTGTGTCAGAATCCAACGCCCCATGAATTCTAACTTCTGTCATTTCGCGATTTTAAGCCCCACCGCCAATCAGTGTTACTGATGAGTATTTATTCACTTAAATTCTTACAAACTAACTTTTAAAAGTTAGTCTGGCGCTATGGAGGATGGGAAGTCGCCGATGATATTAATAATAACAATAATAATTTGCTTTATTCCAAAACAGTATTTGTGATACAGAATGGAATTCTCAGCTTTTCACTACAGTATTGTATCAAGTTTGTACATTAACAATAAATAAAATTCTACATAGATTATGGGTAGTCTCAGTTAATTTTGACAATAACATTTTAGCATATCGGCAGCAAAGCCAAAAGTGAACAGAATGTTTGAAGGTGTTAGAAAAGTAGATACTCGCAAATTTACTGGCGTAAGCGGTAACAAAAAGGCCGAGATATACAGAGTATGGAAGAACGAAGAAGAATGTTTTAAGTAGAGTTTGTAAGGAAGAGAGAAATAAAACAGCACAGCACAAAAAAAGAGAAAAGGAAAAGAAAGAAAGAAAACGTTGTCCCTATAAATGATATGAGTTGAAAAGACGAGATCTAAGTGTTCTACTGACTATTTAATAAGTTATCAGTCTCACGCCTAATGCCTTCTTTATCGCACAGAACACGAGCTGGTAGTGGCGCTAAAAATCGCGAATTGATAAAAGTTAGAATTCATATGTCATTTGGATTCCATTCCAGTGTCTGAATGGTTAACGAGTTCGCTTCGTAACCTGAAAGTTGTGGGTTCGACCCCCTGTTGATGCTCTCGCTGGTGTAAACTACTGAAAAGTTCCAAACTAGGAGAAAACAAATATCCTGTACTCACTGGTTTTCAATAGATCTCTAACTGATATCAATCCGGGATCAAACCTGAAAGATATTTGACATATTTTTTCAAAATAAACGTGAATTTATACATACCTAATTTTTACTTGAAGGAATATGCAGCATTCTAGTTTAAACATACAGTTGTTCATTGTTCTCGTTACTTTTAATCGTTTATTTATATTTTTTCCCGCCGTTTTTCTTCTTCTTGGTGAATAGAAATATGGAGTGGAGTATATTCAAACAAATGAACCAATGGTTGAAAAAAGTGATATTGTATTCGCTTGTGTCAAGCCGCATATACTTCTTCCAGTTTTAAAACAACTTTCAGATAAACTACATAATAAATTGTTGGTTTCTATTGCTGCAGGCATTACACTGGAACAAATACAACAGGTAAAGTTCATGTTATTATTATTATTATATGGAGAGTATATTAATTAATCTTGCCCTGTGATTTATATACTTTGATTGGATACTAGTTAGTTAGCAGCGAGTATCATGAGTTTAGTCCTTTGTTTACCGCAGACTGAATTCTTTCAGTCAAGTTTACAATGTGGCCATCATGCTAGGTGGCTGGACATCACCGAGTACTTTGAATTGTTGTTATTAGATGGTTGGAGGCAATCAGCAGGAAGCTGTGGACCTAGGTTTCGTGCTTATTGGCACTCGTCAGCAAGGCTTCCTGATGATTGCCTCCAACTATCTAATCACAATGATTTATTTCGAGGTGTATGTTTACTCCTGTGTACAGCATCTCCGATAAATGTGTATTCACCTCAGTATGTTCGCCTCCGCAACGAATGTCGGATTCAGTAAACGTTGTTTTGAAGTTTAGGCTTTTGAGTCATGGTTAATTGAATCTTATTCAAATAGTAATATCTTGGTTATGCAATTGAGTGAATTGTTCTTCTACATTAATGTAGGTTATGGTTATTACGTGAGGTTGCACTTGTACAAGGTGTCATATTTTCCAGCCGCAGAAAAAATCAGATTAAAGGGGCGTTCTGTAGATGAGTCCAAGTCTCGGACGAAACAGCTTTCTAGTACTCTCTGGTTTTCAATGATTCTCCAACTGATATCAAACTCGAACAGTATATCAAATTCCTAAATCTTGGAAATTTAAGGAAATAATTAGTGAATAAAGATTATTCCTGTTGATAACTTCTTCGTCAATTTTTAAAGGTATATATCCTCATAATAGCTAACGAATCATTCCTCTGGTTCAAACTGACTGACTGAGATCCCACTTGGAACTTTACACAAAAGCTCATCAGTTCAAGTTCCCATATCATGTAGCACACAAAGTGAAAATAAATTTGAAAGGGCTGTAATGAGCAGAAAAACATGAGGATCAGGGGGATTACAAAGAGGTAATGGATCTACGTCACTGTGAACAGTCTCAAATCAATAGTTCTGAGCATCCCAAGGACCCCAACCAGGTAGTCTACACCTGTTCACATGGCCAAAACCAATAGTCAAAGATTTTTACGGATTAATTGCAGGTCGTAGGTTGATAACCCCTAACTGTTTTCCAACCTCACTATATGTCAGCTAAGAGTGTTCGTCAAGGAAGATAGTGGCTCGGCATGTGCAGCACGTGTCGCAGCCATCTCAGTCGACGTAGCTTCACATACAATTCAAATAAACCATAAGGACAGCATCGAAGAATTTTCCCTGTCGTCTATCGTGTACTGAATAAACTGCTTATAGGCCAATAGGTGTTGAATACTCTGAATAGTAGAAGCTGCAGGAATCTGCTTAAAATAGCCGGGACTTTATGCTCGCGTTATGCATTAGTCCATTTGGGCCACGAGAGCCATTTTTTGTGCAGTGGGTCTTATTAATTATTAAATTCAATTTAGATTTTCCCATCTATTGATTGGACCGAGGTGCTCAGTCTCCGGTTAACATGTCGGCTCCGTGTGCAGATGCTTTGACGATATCTGCCTGCTCATGTAACTTGAAGTCAAGCACAAGGGATGGCCCTCGTGGTCTAGTGGATAACGCCTTGGTGGTAACCCCAGCACTCACTGGGGAATGCAGGTACATCCAGATGACGAGCTCCAAATAGGACGAAACGCACATCCTGGATTCCACTGCTACTCACCATACACCATTTGACTTCAATTTGCTTAACCAGACATCGTCGAAGCATCTGCACGAGGAGCTGATATTATCAACCGTCCAATCAATCGACGGGAAATTCTAAATTGAATTAAATTTAATATCTCTTTTCCTTATATGAGGTTCGTGTTTGGTATAATGTCCTCTAACTAGACTTATATAGCCTAAAATCATGTTAGTGTGATGAAATGATAATGCTTATTTGATTATAGGAATGTAAATTACCATTTTACTAGATAAATAGCATAGTTTTGTAATCATATTATACAGCGTGTTTTTTTTCTAGAAGAAAAACAAACGATTTCCACATGATCATCATTGTTTACAGAATAAGTCATGTGCGTTGCTATTCTCATTTTTTATGACATTAATACACTTATCATCATTATATAAAGGAAGGGATTTTCTCCATACAATGAAACTACGATTGGGAGATAATGAAGGTTTTCTTACCATTAGTGAGTTATTTGAATTCAACCTAGCCGGAAAAAAAAGAATGCTCTCTGTGGATGTAAATGACACTCCTAATACTCGTTACAGATGCACTTTTGTTCAAAATGCTCAAACTATGCGTACAGGTGTGGTGAGAGCGAGCTGCTAGCCGATTGGTAGACATTGATCTACGCTGATTGGTAGAAATTAATCTAGGCTGATTCAACAACCGATCACAGCTGACCTAGACGTGGACAAATATGATTCGCAGACAAGTGGCTCGCATTTCCGAGAAATATCGAAACGAGAAAGCAGAAGAAGACTGCCTTTGTTTGCAAACAACCAATCAGAAGACCGCCTTCTTTCTGCGGGCAGAAGCCTATTAATGTACGTAAAATACATATAAATACCTGTTGGTTTTCGTAATAAAACTGATCTGTTGCCTGGCCCTTGTCTTCTGTTGTTACACAGGTAGTCGTAGTCGGTAGTAGAGTGTTCGTGACTTCTTGATGTATTGAAGTATAATCTTTAGTAGCTGTATTTAAGCAGTAAAGAGTATAACAAAACGGAATATTGCATTGCATACCGCGGCAATCCATTGAATACTTATATCTTCTACACATGTAGATAAAACTTCAGGTGAACATAGAGAGAACAAAGTTGATAAGGATACCCAATCCGATCACCAACAGCAAATGCCTCTTTCCCCCCCCCCCCAACTGACCTGGTCAGCATCGTTTCAACTACAGGTGTGCGTAGGTTGGGATATCAAAGCCAGGATAGGAAAAACAAGACAGGCGTTTATTACTTTGAAATCACTATGGAGATATACAGAATTCAATACAAGGAACAAGCTACAAATTTTCAACACTAATGTGAAGCTAGTCGGTGCTTCGATATGGTCCAAAGACTTGACGCCTCACTGAAAACATTTCCAACAGTCTACTGCAGACTTTAATCCAGGGATGCCTTCGCTGGTTCGATAATGAGGATCAGACAACTGACCAGAAGGCATTAGCAGCAAGGAATCATGGCAACAAATCAAGAAACCAAGAACCTATGACCCAACAAATATGGAGATGGGCTGGACATATGCTTAGGGGACCGGTGAAGGACATCACTCGCCAGGCCGTTGAGTAGTGGAACCCTGATACGAAACGATGAATTGCGCGTCTGTCTGAGGGTAATATGGAGGAGGTCGTGTGAGTTGGGAATGTCTGGATTCAACATAGAACTAGGCACCGAAGTGCAGCAGTTCGAGTTGCCACGTTCCAAATAGCACACAAAGGTAGACAAGAAAATGAGTGGAGAGAATCGATAGAGTTTTGACAAGTATAAGAGTGAAACAGAATGAGTAATGGTAGAAAGTAATATGAAAGATTACAGAGACTGAATAAATCCGCGTAAGCCATTGACAACGATTTTGAGCCATGTCACCTATTGTCTCCAGCCATTGATTTTTAGAGTCCCGAGGGCGGGCCCCAACCCGGAAGTCTGAATCTCCCTACCTGACTCACTTTAACTGTCAAGGATTTCATGGATTGATGCCATGTTTTTGTTTGGCCACTGCTTACTCTTTTCCAACCTGCACCTATATCAGCTAGTAATGCCCGTCGGGGGAGGCGATGGTTAGGCATGCGCAGCACGTGACCTAGCCATCTCAATCTATGTAACTTTACAGCCTCGTCGATTGATTTTCCCTCTTTGCCCAACACTGTATGCCTAACGTCAACATTTCTTACCTTATTATACCACCTAACGCGAGAAAGACATCGTAAACATCTGTGGTCAAAAACAGTCAACCTTTTCATGTCTTCAACTCGTATTGGCCATGTTTCAGAGCCATAGAGAAGGACGGAGCGAACTGCTGAGCAGTACACACGTCCGTTGGTTGATAGCCGGATGTTACGCCTACGCCAGAGACGGTGTAAGTTAGCGAAAGCAGCCCCAGCTTTTTGGATCCGTGCTGAGATTTCGTCACCAATCAATCCGTTGGTGCTGATACAACTTCCCAAATAGGTGAAGTGGTCAACATGTTCTATCACTTCACTCCCTATCACTAAGCTAGGAGTTGACGTAGTCCAGTCATTCCTGTAGCAGCATCTTACATTTCACAGGGGCGAATCGCATGCCAAACATCCGAAGATTGCTGCTCAAGGTGTTCAGAAGACTCTGCATTTTGTCAGCATCCTCCCCTAACAGGACTATGTCATCTGCATATTCTAAGTCTATAAGACTATTCCCTGGTAACAAGTCGACTCTTAAGTCGTTAAGTTCAGTTAAGGATACTTCCATTAGCATATCTATGATGAAGTTAAACAGAAAAGGGGAAAGTGGACATCCTTGACGGACACCACTGGTTGTTGGGAATGAAAGTTAGGGAACATTCCTGGACTCATTTAAAAAGCGACCTCAGAGAACAGAGTGAATTAGTGATATGCTACTGAATTGCTAGGAATTCCACTAGGAATCCAAAGAATGAATAATACTCATTTGTTTGTAGCCACAAAGGTTTTAATCCTCTTCATCAGACAACACTTGTTCTCACTGCACTAATTTATCTTTTATTCTTGTTTGATTTGGATCATTTTTCGTAGGTAGTATAGAGTCTACGGAAATGACAGTTTGCTCAATATTTTATGCAATCAAACATATGAAAAGCGCAAAGAGAAAAAAAAACACAACAAACTATGATAGTATTTATTTTTAGTTTTAACTGAACAAATGTATATTATTGTGAAATTGAATTTTGGGAATTTTTCCCTCAACATTTTATTGATCAGCATACATTAGTCTTCTCTGGTCTTGTGCTTCTAGTTAAAGTCGAAGGAATAGTATTTGATTAACAGACTTTTTAATGTATTTTGATGTGAGTTGGAACTAGAATTAAAAACAGCTTTTAAATTCTCGATATGATTTGTCTTTCAGACATATCAATACATAAGTGTTGTACTATTTAAGTATTAGTTTGTAGGGATTTGATTGGTTGGTTACAGGATTTCATCATGAGCTGACATCGGTTAAGGAACGATTGGGAAACCTGCAAGGAGTACTGGGCAGCTGTTTCGTCCTAGTTTGGGACTCTTCATCAATACACACTCACCGGGGTTATACTATTTATTGTGGTTTATAATGTTTATTGTTTTATTCTACTGAGTGGGGAACGTTTTAACTTTCACTAACTAATCGGTTATAAATATGTCGAATTATGTCGAGCTGTCTCTCTCTCCCTTTGTGCGTGAAGTAAATAACCCTATCTCTAATGGCCCGATTACTGAAGGAATCTCAGCATGTAGCACTTACCAAGTGATGTCATCTCCGACGTAGATGTGATATCTGGCTGTTGATCAAAGGATGTGTGTACTGCGCAACAGTTCTCTCTGTTCACTTTTACCACTATGAAACATGTCCATTGAAAAGGCTAGCTAGCTAGCTGTCTTCGTCCACAGATGTTTGAGTTCTATCATCCGTATTAAATGGTGTAATATAGTGAGCGATATTGGTGTTAGGTGTAAAGTGTTAGTTTAGGAGAGCAAGTCCATCCATGAAGTTGTAAAACTACATCGATTGGAATGGCTAAGACATGTGTTACGCATACTGAGCGACTACCTTCCTTGTCGAACAATGTTAGATGATATCGGACTACGTTGAGGAAGAATTAGAGGTGGTAAAATCAAAATCTGTCATCAGTCCATGAAATCTTTGATTTTTAGTTTATGCCATTTACAGAGGTGTAGATTTGTACTTTATTGGTGTTCTCGGAATGCTATGCCTGAAAGTCGTTTTCAATAATACAGATTCATTTAAACTTTTTGCAGTTCCCCACACTCAGTTAAACACTCGTGTTTTTCCATGTTACTATTCTTTCTCCTTCACGTCTCTGTTTATAATAATCCTTTTCAATCTCTTTTTTCTCCCTCTCTGTCTCTTTTTTGTCTACCTTTGTGTGCTATATGGAGTGTGGGAACTTGAAATGTTGCATTTTGGTGCATATTTCTATATTGAAACTCAGTCAGCCGGTTACATCACTTTATTTGTACATTTATCCATAAAGTGATTTCTATCGGCTTAGATAAACATACCAAGCGTCAGTTGTTTATATTTTAACGGTAACTTTAATTTTTCCAAAAAAGATCATTTTACCATATTTACCGCTTTTTTTTCAAAGGAATGGTTACTGAACAAAGAATATTCTTTTCGATAACCTGCTCTTCCTCAGCTTCTATAGTTATACATACATAGTAGTAAGTGAATTAGTGTTATTGACAACATTCATGTAGTTTAAATAATATCGAATCAATAATAATAATATCAGTGGGTTACAGTTCGATAGCATCAGCATGATAATATACTGAATATACGAAAATTTAGTAAAGATAATAATACAAATTCATGAATTTATAGTTTCCACTGAAGGCTGGCTAGAGCAGTAGTAGTGGCTGATTGGACCTGTTTCTTCTGCATACAGAGCACTGGTTGTTTAAGGCGAATCGCGATAGCCTTTGTTGTTTGGAGTATGCGGTACCTGGATGTTTTTGGCAATCTGTTTAGTATCCGATAGATGATAGGGAAGGACTCCTCAATGCTATCTTTGTGGCGGGTTTGGACCAGATGTTCTAATAGCGAACGACTGATGCTTCTAACTATACCTTTATTTAAACACACAGGTAGATGTTCCCAAGCGAGTATGAAAATCAAGTTCCTAGAATAAAGGCCAATATAGCTCTCCACTACAAGCGTAGTTGAATTGGTAGATACAATCAAAAGCGGCTAGTCCAGGTACCACATACTCCAAACAGCAGTGACTATCGTGATTCGCTTGAAAAAACCAGTGGTTTATGTGCAAAAGAAACAAGTCCAGCCATCCCTACTGCACTGATCGGCCTTTATTGGAGACCATACATTTATGAATTTGTATTATTATCTTTCCTAATGTTTCTGATATTCAGTGTGTATTGTTATGCTTATGCTACTGAACTGTAATCCATTGATATTATTATTATTGATTCGATGTTATTCAAACAACATTATTGTTGTTAATAATAACACTAATTCACTCACTGTTATGTATATATAACTGTAGAACCTGATGATGTTGTCGGAAGGAATATTCTTTATTCAGGAAACATTCTTTTGAAAAACGCTTTTTTCAGTTAGTAGGTTTATATATAGTCTGAAAATTTATTGAGATAGGGCAAAGTCTTTTTTCTCTTCATGTGAAAACTTTGTTTTCATCACTTACAAGTTGCAGCACTCATTTTTAATTCCCAGTAGGTAATGTCAGATAGCTTTGTCTATGTTTAAAGTTGTATTTGTCTCATGTAATTATTGCTTTGTCTTTTGTATTTTCCTATAGGCTGTTCCTAAGTCTACACGAATTATTCGTATTATGCCGAATACACCATGTCTTATAGGGATTGGAACTGCTGTGTATGCGCATACATCATCTGTTACTGAACAAGATGTTCTATTGATTTCTACGTTATGCTCATCAATTTTTCCTGTATTTGAAGCTATTCCTGAGTCACTGTTCAATGCAGCCGTTGGTGTAGCTGGCTCAGCGCCTGCATATGTAAGTTGGGTTTATTCTATTCATTGTTTTGTTCTGGAAGTATAAGCCTGCTTAAAACTTGAGCAACCAAAAAACCCCATCTTTATATTACGTGTAATAGTAGTATTTACTGTGATGAGTATTTAAAATATTTACAGCCTACTGATTCTCAAGCATTTTCAAGGAAGAGCATAAACGTGGTTGACATTGTATCCCAAAACATGATGTAATTGTTCCTGACATTTTTAGTGCACAAACTGCCATTCTCTGGAAAATTAAACTGACTACCTGAAGTTTCTGCTCATTCAGTTATGTCTTTGGGTCACAAAATGTACTGTTGCACTATTTTTAAACCAGCTTTCAACCAAATGTTGTGCATTTCTTGAAGGAGACAAAAAGAAGTCTCACAAGAGGATTGATTTGCTCTTCAGGTCAGGCGGCATTGTGTGATGTGTCATCTACTATCAATTACTATTTTACTTGAAGATGCTAGGCGAAGAGTATATATTGTGTGATAGATTCTGCTATGAATTCTGTGCATTTTATCAACACTGTCTAGAATTAAGCTATTATTATTATCATAACCTCCTTTACCTGGGAAGCATCGTTTCAACTACAGACGGAACTGACGAGGACATCAAAGCAAGGATCGAGAAAGCAAGGCAAGCTTTCATTACTCTCAAGTCTGTGTGGAAGTCAGCAGCACTCAGCATGAAAAATAAGATCCGGATTTTCAACTCCAATACGGATCAGAAACTTGGCGTCGTGTCATGAAGAACACGTCAAACAAACTACAGACCTTCATCAACAGCTGTCTTCGCTCATTACTACTCAAGATCAGGTGGCCAGAAAAGATCAGCAATAATGAAGGATATCTGGGAGCAAACCAACCCAGCAGGAACCAATTGTGCAACAAATATGCAGGAAGAAATGGAGGTGGATTGGCCCTACTCTGAGGAAACAAACCATCAAGTGACGCCAGGACATCACTCGAGTGGGACCCTAAGGGGAAGCGTCGAGTTGGTCGTCAATGGGAGGGTGACATGGAGGAGGTCATGTGAAGAGGAGATGAAAGCATGTGGGCAGACGTGGGGCCAGGCGAAAACGTTGGCAGAGAACCGAATGCAATGGAGACGTGCGGCTGAAGCCCTATGTTCCTCTAGGAACTAAAAGAAACAATAATAATATAATATTATTATAATTATTCAGAACAAAATAGTTAGAGCGAACAATTGTGGTTTCAATAAATTCCTCTTCTTCAGGCTCTACAATTATAAATCCATTAATTAATTTAAGCATACAATAGCCAGCCAGTAAAGGTAAATTAGAATTTTATCAGAAATGTATTGTGGAAGAAGTATGTTCAACCTCTATGTTCACCTTGGCCTACAATAAGACCAATAAATCCTCCATAAACATTATCACTTTAAATTCCTATCACAATTTTCTTTTCTTCTTCTTCTATTCCTTTGTTTCATTGACAAACGTTCATTTGTGACCTTTTACAACTTCATGACCTTTCTTATGATTTCTATTACCTTAGGTTTAAGTAATGCTTTTCTAACTTGTTATCGTATTTACAAAATCCTGTACATTCCACTTCACTAAATTCATTATTATTATTTTCTATAGTTGGTTTGTAAGGATTAGTTTTGTTTTTACGAGTTGATCACGGATTGATATCAGTTAGAGAACCGTTGAAAACCAGCTGGGAGTACTGGACAGCTGTTTCATTCTAGTTTTGGGAATCATCGGCAGAATTATTATTATTGTTGTTATTTGACAGTCATTCAACAATAGTACTTTTAAGTCTACACCACATCATCGTTATTATTTTACAATCCTTATTATTGTCGTTATTTTCAACCTTGAACTTTTGTCTAGTCCGCCCTATTCGTTGGTTTATTTTCTGTAGTATTCATATTGTTTCACATACCCTGATTACACTGACTCTCGAAACCTGTATTTTTCTGTTGACGATATTTATATATGTATACACACATCATTAAATTTGATTATTTCATCACATTTTATCCCATGTTCTCATTGACCATGCATATCTAAAAACTAACTGACTATTGTTCCATCCCATCTTAAACTTGTTCCACAATACACTTTCTGATACGATTCTAATTTGCCTTTACTGGCTGGCTATTGAATTTTTAAATTAATTAATGGATTTAGAGACTGAAGAAGGAGAATTTATTGAAACCACAATTGTTCGCTCTAGCTATTTTGTTCTGAATATTATAATTATGTAAAATTGTCATATAATAACACCCTAACCACACTGGAGGTCCGGGTTCGAATCTGGGCTGATGCACTCCTAAACTTCTTTTGGTTTTCTAACCTTTAAGTACTAAGGTCGTGAAATGCGACGAAGGGGGGGGGGGGGTAGGCTGGGCACAAGGTTAGCAATGTTACTATGTAGAAGCAACACAACCGTTACTGGCACTTTAAAGCTTGATGGTTCACGTTCTACTCGGGAAGGAAAGCAATCACAAAGGTTGATGTAATGAAGATTTCTAGTGCTTAATCAGTTTTCGTAAAGTATTATCAAACTCTTTCAAATTCCATCCATTAGTAGTTTCAAATAGCAACTGTTTATTGTATCATTGATCTGAAGAGATAAATTGGTTTAGATGTGTTCATTATTCGATTTCTCGCTAATGTATTTATTCTTAAGTGGTCAGATAATTCCATTGTGTTTTTTTTTGCTACAAAATAACAAAGAATGTTTAGTAAATTGAGGAAAAGGAATAAAAAAATTCCAAGGAAACATGAAACTGTTGTTTGTTTGTTTTTCTATTAAGTTTCGTTTTAACATGTCAGGATTTTTTTTCCACAAAGTATCTAAATGTTTTGTTTGAACATAAAAGTCTTCGTCAGAAGTATTCATGAGTGTGAAACTAACTCAATCGTTTTTTCTCTCTACTGTATTTAATGTATAAATGCATGAAAGTTGAGTTAATTTGTGAAAGACTGATTGTATTTATGCTATGCTATGCATTTGATTAAGATATTCAAGATATACTACTGATTTCAGGTCATTTCAGCGTCATTAATCGGTAGAATCATATGTCTGTCTATAGTCTAATGTGAATTGGTAATTTCGGATAAATCCAACCTAAGTCTTTGCTCATTTTGAATCTGACTAAGTCATTTTTTGTGTTTTGTAGAATACTTTCCTGTAAAGTTTTAAGGTTAAACATTTTATTCTGAAAGCTTTTTTCCCCAGGTGTACACCTCCTAGGGAAGTCACAGTGTATTATTTTAATTGGCTTTGACAAGAGTTGTCAGTGTGGTGGACAAACTCGATGACCTGACACATGTAGTCTTAAAGAGTTGATTATACTACTCGACAGAACAGTATGCCTTACTAGACAGGTGCGAAATTACCGCTTTTATATATGACGTGTTTTCAGTGTGGTGGGTCCTCCATGCGTTAAGTGTATGAGTTAGGTGTGGAATTTTAGATAAAAGGGATCAGTTAACAGGTTTGTAACAGTCTGTCAACTAAAGTGTTTCACATATACCTAATCACGACTTAAACTCACTGTCTAATGCTATTTGGAAAAGTATATTCGTCTTGAGAAAAAGGCCAAAGGTCACCGAAATGAGCCATGAAATAATCGCCTGTTAGTTTAAGCAGTTTTAAGAAATTTCTCTTCATTTACTTGGGGGCTATTAGATGACCTAAATCAATCACTAAGTTATATAGATATGATGCGAATACGACATTTCTGCCCTCCGCTTTATTGTCCCTATATATATATACATATATATATATATATATATATATATATATATATATAAGCATCACCTTCCTATTTAGCTTTTATGTTGATTTTAGAGCTCATGCTCAGCCACCGTCTTCCTCGACGAGCGATGTCACCTAACACAGGATTCAGTTGGATAAGAGTAAGGTGTGGCCAAGCTGAAACCTGTCCACAATTCATGAAATTTTTGACAGTTGGTTTGAGCCAGGTTAGAAGTAGGCGTGTTGCGAAGTTAGATCGATTGAGATGGTTAGGAGATGTGTTACGTATTCCCGGCCATCGCCTTCCTCGACAATGGGTAATGTTAGCTGACACAGGGTCACGCTGGAAAAGAGCCAGTGGTGGTCAAACCAAAACATGGCTTCATGAGTCAATGAAATCCACAACAGTTAATTTAAGCCACGTAGGAAGGTGTATACTTCTTGACTGGTTGGGGTCCTCAGGACGGTAAAAATCAACGAAGGCTGGAGACAATTGATGATATGGCTCAAAATCGTTCTCACTGACGGCTGGCGGAGATGCATCCACTCCTTGTGACTTATAATATCCAATAAAATTATATGGTTTGTTCAATATTACTATTCTTTTTGCCTCATATCTCTGTTTCGCATTTCTTCTTACTTTCTTCTCTTGCTCTGTGTGCTAAATCAAGTGTGTCAACTCGAACTGCTGCATATTCGTGCAAAGTTCTATGTTGAAACTAGTCAGTCAGTCAGTCAGGTGTGTAAACTGCCTGGTTGGGGTTCCTGGGATGCTTAGAACCATTGACTTAAGACTATTGGTGATACAGCTAAAAACTATTCTCAGGTGCTGAGATGCATTCACTTTTTGTGTTCCCCTAGATCTGTTAAGTTCTCATATAATTATGCTTTCTCTTATACATATCGTTCCTTTGGATAGATTTGTTAAAAATCTTTTTCATGCCACATGAAATGTGGCAACTTGAACTGCTATACTTCTGTACAAAGCTCTAGCGTGAAACTCAGTCAGTTAGGCAGTCAGTCGGTTTTTTTCTCTGTTCGTGATGTAAACTATGTTAATTGTAGTGACGGTTGAATATAATGACGTTGTTACTTACAATTATACGTAGTAGGGTTAAACTGAGATTTTATCGAGGTTATCAAGGTGTGTACATCATCATTTATGTCGATTTTTACGTGACAATATAATTAACCATGTGATCCTTTATTCTAAATAATGAATTTTTAATATCACATACAAAGCTTACATAGGTTTATGGTT